AAGTGCATAATTCAATGGATTTTTAGTAAATTTACAGAGTTATGCAACCATCAACACATTCTAATTTTAGAACATTTTCATCATCCCAGAAGGAAACTTCATGCCCATTTGTAGTCATTCCCTAGCTCGCCCCACTTTTCCCACCATCCCCAGGCAACTACTAATCTACTTCTTGTCTATAAATTAGAGTTTTCTGGACAATTCAAAAGGTAATTGTGTTTTGAAAGCATTATGACCAAAAGAGGTACAGTTTTTAAAATGAAGGGGGAATGTAAGGATAAATTTTGTGACCGTGGGTTAGGCAAAATCTTCTTAGATATGGATCCAATAGCATAAGCAACAAAAGGGAAAATATATAAACTGAATTTCATTAAAATTTAAAATGTTTTACTGCAAACATTACCATCAAGAAAGTGATAAGACAACACACAGATTGGGAGAAAATACTTGTAAACCATACATCTGATAAGTACTTGAATATATAAAGAACGCTTACAACTCCATAATAAAAAGATAAATACCCTAACTTTTAAATAGGCAGAGTCTATTAGACATTTCTCCAAAGAAGATATATGAATGGCCAATGAGCACATGAAAATATTTTCAATATCATTAACCAAAAGGGAAATACAAATCAAAACCACAATGAGATACCACTTCATACCCATTAGGATGGCTATAATAAAAAACAAAGCTAATAAGTGCTGCAAGGATGTGGAAAATTGGAACCCTCACACATTACTGGTGGGAATATAAAATGGTGCTCACATTGGAAACCAGTTTGGCAGTTCCTCAAAATGTTAAATACAGTTATCATAGGAGCTAGCAATTACACTCATAAGTATTTATCCAAGAGAAATGAAAACACAGATCCACACAAAACCTTGTAAAATAATGTTCATAGCAGCATTATTCATAATAGTCAAACAGTAGAAACAATCCAAATGCCCATCAACTGGTGAATGGATAACATGTGATATATCAATACAATAGAATATTATTTGGCAATAAGAAGAAACAAAATATTGATATATGCTATATAATAATGAGCCTTGATACTTATGCTAAGTGAAAGAAACCAGGCACAAAGGCCACATATATTGTATGATTCCATTTAAATGTTCAGAAGAAACAAATGCACAAAGACAGAAAGTNATTAAAATGAAACTTTCAGAAATAATGTCAACCTCTCACTTTGATGACTCTGTCTGTAGATGATCCACTCAGCTCCTTACTCCCCCACCCTCTTAGGGGGTCAGTTTCTTACTTAGCTCCCAGAAAGAAAAAAAAAGTTTATTTTCTTAGAAGGAGGAAGACAGAACATAGGTGTTTGATACACAGAACTGTGTCCTGAGGCAGCTTCAGCAATGTAAAACCTACTCTCCAGTGGCTATGGTGCTTGAGGGTCAGCCAAGTGTTGGAGATCATGGAAAGAGTTCAGAGAAGCCAAGGTTGTTAGTACTGTATCTTTCAGTTGAGTACCTAAAACTAGACCTACTTAACTGTAGGACTTAGATTATAAGTTATAACAATATACAGTTTTGTTTATTATTTGTAGACATATAGTATATAGGTTGTAGGTACCTCCTTTATATAGTATTATAACTGACTGTTCAAATAAATTTGGTCCCCCATTCATTTTCATTAATTTTTTAAATCAGACTTAACCACTTCCATGTTTTATATCTTAAAAACAACTCTGTGTGTGTGTGTGTGTGTGCGTGTGCGTGTGTGTGTGTGTGTGTGTGTGTGTGTGTGCTTTCTATGTTCCTGGGATTGAGTTAAACTCTTTACATATAACATCTCATTTAACTTTACAATGACCCTAAGAAATAGGTACTCTTATTCTTCCCATTTTATAGGTAATCATACTAAGGTTTAGAGAGCTCAAGACTTTGCTAAAAATATTAACACTGGTAAATGTAAATCCAGGTACCCCAACTCCACAGCCTGAGCTCAGAGCCACTACGGGATACTATTTCCACAGACTCCATTTTCTTCAGTCAAATCTCCTGAGCACAATTTAACCAGTTCTTGAGAGCTTAGGGTCACCATCAATGGCTGTGGCAATGCAGTCATTCTCTCTCAGGCCTTGCTATCAGTCGTCAGTCCTGATGGCTGCTGCCCACTGCTAGAAGCTTGACTTCCTGTCTTACTTACTACCTTTAATCTGCAATAACCTAAGAAATATAACAGCTTCATTGGTTAAAACTGTTAATAAAGTAAGTCAATAAACTTCACAGGATTCTCTGAAAGCATGTCCAGTAAGTGCATGGATTTTGCGGAAAATATTTCAGTGGCTCAGCGACCTTTTTCTTTTTCTTTATAAGGTCTTTGCAGTGTTCACAGATAAGTGAGCCTAACAGACACTGGGAAATTTACTCAAAGTTACTTATCAATATAAATTATCTGCATTATGAGGTTTTTATGTGTTTACCCCCCACCTCCTCCAACACAACACACACACCAAAAACACTAAAAAAGACAGTACAGAAATTGTGTGGAAGAAGAAAGTGTGAATTATATATGTGTGAATTTTATTAACTTTTTTCAATTTTATTAACCTAAGTTATTGTTCCTGTCAATATAATCAGTGAGAGTTAAGTAATAAAAAACCCTGCCCCCTCCCCTTACAGAAAAAAACATTGACCCAACAGCAAAAACAAGTTAATTCATTTTCATTTTCTTCTCCCATTTCCAGGCTAAGAGCACGTCTCACCTTACTGAACTGTCCAACCACATGCTTCAGAATATTGGGAGGGGCATCATATAGAAATGGCTCAAGGGCTGGTAAATAGGTGCATTTTTGTAGTATAGTCTTTATGGCTCTTTTACTCTATTGAAACACAAAAGCAAAATACATACCAAAGTAAGTAATCAATGAAAGCTTGACAAAAATTCATGTCTCATGTTCCTGGAATTTGAAAATGAAATCAATTTCCTGGTCTAA